TTTTCTCCTAACAAAAACTTCTCAAAGCATTGTTTTGATGCATTTTGACAGATTCACGATTCTCAGCAAAAATACTTGGACCAAAAAGAGGCAGTCACTGAAGATTTCCCTGCTAGTCTAAAGGGCATGTCCATTAAAAGAAACACAAAAGAACCTTGATATAAGTTTCTCAGCCAATCTAATCTTGGCCTGAAATGAAAAAAAAAGTCAATAAATGCAGATTTATAGGTAATGTTGCTTCCTGGATCATCTGTGAGCCTTCAGTTAATAAATTAGGGTGGAATACCTCTTGCACAGAAAATCCAAGACAGTCGGTCTCTTTCTTCTTCATAATCACCAGCAATAAAAACCTTGCAGGTTGATTAATGCCTTCCCCAGTATCTGGACAAGTCTTATTTCCAGGTTTTGTACTTCCCGAGCCCTGGGCAAGCCAAGGGCTTGGCAGACCCCTCAGACATGGAAGAGCCCTTGTGAAGGACCCTGAGCTCCTCTCGCTGCCAGCCCGGCGATGCTGCTTTAGCAGGAGGGAGAGGCAGGTCATCAGTCACTGGCAGGAGGCTGAGTTAGCCAGGTCTGCGCAGGGAAGGGTTATGGCATCCTGCTCTAGGAACAAGAGGCATCCAGCCTACCACAGTCCACCATTCACTGCCTGTTGCTGGTGCTTGTCTTCATTTCTCAGTTTACTACCTGAACTGCCTAGGTGGGGAAATACCCAAGAGCTTTTCTTCTAGTTGCAGAAAGCACAGCTAAGGGCCCAGAGGTTCTCTGCTGCTTTCTGCAGACCTCAGGGAGGTAAGTGCTGCCCCTCAGTTTCTGGCTTTGCCCTGAAAATACCAGCAGGAAAGCCCTCTCCCCAATTTTTTCATACCTGGTGAACATCACGCCCTTACTACAAAGCCTTGCCTGGCTGGAAATCTGCGCCCGCATAATTTAGGACACATCAGCACATGAAAGTGAACTTGATTTAAGTGAGAGCATCACTTGAAACTGCAATAGCTTTCCTCAATTAACTCTGCATGTAGCAAAGACCTTGAAATGCATTTTAAACTGCTATATTAAGGCATTATAAAATCCTTTGTGAACACTATTATTCTGGCTCACTTTAAACCTGATACCCCCACCTGACATTAATACAAGGGTTGCGATCGTGACTTAGTAAGACATAACTAAGCAGCATTGTGGTAACACTTAACCCACTGCAATACATCACCCTGCCAGCAACTTTGGACCATTTCTGCAGCTTTTTTTTTGTCTGATGCAAGGGCTGAGTCCTCTCAGACAAAACACCAGCCCTCTGTACATCCCCAAGTGCCACCCTCGCAGTGCCCAGCATCCCACCATGCACCATGCAGAACGAGCGGATGACCCGGCACGGCACGGTCAGGGGTACCGGAGTGATGTGCCCTCGCTGATTCGACTGCTGCAGGTCCAAGTTAGTGCTGCCAAGTACTCTAGTAAAGAAGGCATTACAGGTCACGGCAGTTGAAGGCAAAATATCTTATGTCACATTAGTGCTGGGCTGGGTCTGGGCGTGTGGTTAATTAAAGAGGCTCAGCTAGAGAGTGGTAATTTGTTAAGCTGCATAACTTAATTTCTTGCAGTCATCTGCGTATCCCCACACTGAGCTACTCCTAACACGAAAGGAGGTGTTGAACTGTGTCCGTTAGAATTTGTTCTTTTGGTTACTGAGGTGCAGCTTCTGTGTGCAGATAGGGCAGAACCATCCCCCTTAGTGTTATCGCACAGAGGCAGCTCCGTACGCCAGCCCTCACCAGCTCTGCTACTGACAAACAAGCAGTGTTACGAGAAGCCCCAATATTCAGAATTTACCTCAAAACCCAGCCTGACCTTCCAGTTTACAGCTGGCCACCCACAGAGCCCTGTGGGATGCAGAGACCCCAGCCGTGGGCGAGTCGGGTGAGCAGGGACCCGGGGTGCAGAGAGGAATCGAAGGCTGAGCCTTAAAAAACTAAGGAGCCTTTTCTGCTATTCCTCTCACAACTGTGATCAGCTATAATCAGTCCGGACCGAGAAAGGACCTCGTGCCTTACAGCAGGGCCGGTGCCCCCGCGCACCCAGACACAGCAGTGTCCTGCAGGCAGCAATTCGTAACACACCAAAAACTGGACTTTAATCCTAGGAAAGATCTGTTTGAAAATTCCTTCCAGTGCAGAGACGGTAGAAGTTCAAGCTGCAAGGTTCAGCTCGCTGAGCAATCTGCAGCCCAGTTTTCCGGGGCTGCGAGCTCCTGCGCTGGCCGGCTCAGGGTGACCTCAGCCCTTGTGGAGAAAAGCCAAGTGACCAGCTGGAAATTCCTATATCGTTTCATATTATGCGCAATTTTTATTTCAACATAACTGAGAACTTCTAAAGACAAGCTTTTATTGATTAGAAATAAAACTAGGGTTGTTTTTGTTAAAAAATGGCTTTTCATACTGAAAAATGAAACATTTTCTTTGGCAACGTCAAGGCTGGCAGGTTTGAGTTTTTCAGAAGATGGTGATTGCCACGCAGGTTCCTCCCCGGCCTCTGCGGCCGCTCGGCGAGCACACGCGCGCTCTCATCAGCGGCAGACAAACCAGGACGGCTTTATTACCGACGTAAATCAGAGAAGCTCCGCTGGCTTCCGAGGAGCGTTGCAGATTTATGCCAGGAGCTGACCCGGCATCTCTATTTTCAAAACTAGGGCAGATTGAAATATGCTGTTTTTCAATAATATATTCAGGTTAACAGGGCTTTTATATTTGGGCAATTAATCTTGCATAGACTGAGAATCTCTCGGGACACTGTGCAAAGGTTGCTAAGAAGAGGAAAACAAACACAGTTGTGTAACTCTGTTCTCTCATGTCTTTTCTTTCATGAAAACACATTGCAGTGACACAGCAGTGATCTGAAACCCAGCAGTAATGTTACTTTAATAATCAGCAGCATACCAAGACATAGTATAGGCATGATTTTACTAAGAGGTAGTATTACCTCATCGTGTATTACTGTAAAATGATTCAAACCAGAAATATTGAGACACAAATCTGTGGTAACAGAGGAAAACCTACACTGGGCTAGAGAAAGCCTTTCCGGTTTGTTGCAGGGCTGTTCCCTCCCGTGGCACGTGCTCGCGTGTGGAAGGGGAGGCCTGGGGCATGCACACACGCTTCTCTCGGTGTGGCTGTGCATGTGCTCACACTATATTTAAAACCACGCTGGTACCCAGCACTGATCCCTGGTTGGTGCCACCAAAGACTCTTCCCAGACCTGGTCCTTGTCTTTCTGCGCTGCCTCTCGCTGCCTCTTCTGCCCAGCAGCCCTACTGCTGTCTGCCAGCACCCTCAGCTTCCTCGTTACCTAACGAATGCCGCAACAGATGCTACTCAGAAGTCCAGGCAAGCGAGGTGTACCACATCTTCTTGCTTAGGAAAGAGACATCTGCCCGGGCAATGGCATCCAGGCTGCTGTCACCCACTTTGGGCAAATACGCTGCGTATTATCCCATTTTTCCACATCCCTCCATCTCTTCCCTCATCCCTTCCATTGCCCTCAAGCTCATAGGACTGATAGATGACTTTTAGGCCTGTAATTGCTTCTGCTATTTTTTTCCTCTTTGCATTTGCTGTTCTGCAGCCATGCAGTGTCATACCGAGTCTCACAGATTTACCAAAATCCTTATGATTCGACCCTTAGTTTTTAATTCTTCCAGCACATTAGACTCTAAAATGGCCTAGGAATACAACTGCTGTACGCCTAGCAAACCAGTAATCGTGGTTTTGTGCTCAAGCCCAGGGAAGGAAATACTACCATCTAAAAACTGCTAAACCGCTTGCTTTCTGACCGGGCTGCCAAGGCCTGGCGAAGGCAGTGCTGCCCAGCCATCTGCACGACCACGCTTCCGCGGAGCAGGGGCTGACTGCAACGGAAACCATTCAGTCGCGTGTAGTGGCTGCATCCTCGCACGACTGAAGTTTCCGATTGCAAATAGCAACAGACTCTGAAAGGTGGCTACCGCTTGATTAACGTGTGCTGCATCTGTTATTTCAAAGTGCCAATTACACTACATAAACACACCACTGCAATAGCAGCGCGTTGATTTATGCTAGCTGAAAATCTGTCCCTTTACACCGTTCTTTTCTTTCTCCTCCCACAAAAAAGAATTTCCTTCTGAGCCCAATAAAACAGAAAATCTCATTGGTTCTACGTTATAACAGTAATATCGCATTCTGCTAGGAACCAGCAATTCTGCCTCTGGCCATGAAATTCAGGTAATGACCCATAACTGAAGTAAATTAGTGTTTAATTTCCCATCCTTTGCAGACAGCTTACTAATGGAAATTGATTTTTAGCTTTTCTCTTTTTCATTTAACATGCTTGTCTAATGTCTTTATTTTAAATTCAGGCGGTTTCCAGTGACTTTTAGCCAAGAGGCTAGTGTACAGGTGACCACTGAAAGTGCCTGGTTAATCAATGCTGTGTTGAACGGTGCACGGGGGACCGGCATGGCAGGGCCATCCTCGCACACGCTGCGGGCTCCTTCTGCCCTGCGTCCCACCCGGGACACGCTCTGGGACAGAGCCTCTGATGGAGCAAGCCAGCAGAGCTCTCACCCATGTAGCACCCGCAGAAGTCCTGCCGTTACAGACCTGATCCCTTAGGCACAAGCTCTTATACAATTAGCGTGTTCATTTGTACGGGGGACACTTTAATTTATACTTCCGCATGCCCAGTGCACTCCCGGACAGATAAAGGGGTGCTCCTCCGTCCCAGCAGCCACCCTCTGACCTACAGGCGAGATGTTTCGTCTCGGACCAAGCCAAGAGCCCCAGATGCCACACCTCGGTGCTGCCTGGACCCAGCAGCAGTCCTGCCCTCCGCACCGTTGCTCAACCAGCACGAAATCCCCGGTAACTCTTGCCCGAACGTGGGCTCTCTTGTGTAATCTGATCCCGCCACCAGCACACGCACACACACCCTTTTTTCTGCTATTTAGGTAAAACTCAGCCGACAATTTCTTCATTGTCTAGCAGCACCAGCACTAGAGACAGAAGCTGGCCTTGGATGTCCAACCCTTTTTTGTTGCAAGGGAGAGCAAGGCAGTAAGAGACGGTAAGGTTTTTACAGCTCCTACCCCCTTAAATTATAAGAGCCGTGAGGCAAAATAAGGATATTTAACAGCATTGTGTTATTTTCACCCCTCAGCTACTTCTGCAGTCTATCAGGTTAGTCTGGCAACTACAAAGGAGCTGGGAGGAGGGAAAAATCTACTTTTCCCATTTTACTTTTCTGAAGTACTATGGAGGAACCAGAACCCAGCTGGTGCTGTTTTACACTTTAAAAGCAGGGCTAACAGCTATTATTTTTCTCAGTGTTTGGCTGATTTTCTGCTTCCATAGACACTTTAATAATGCTATAAATTGTCCAGTAAAGGAATTGTTAGTTAGAGATGGTGTCTGGGGTATTTGTTCCTTATTGATGTGTAAATTGGCTTGTACTGCAGGCGTGCACTTCTGAAGAGGAATGCTTTGTAGCATGATGATAATAATAACAATTAGTACAGGATCTAGCAAAATGTTAATTGTGCACTAAAATCCCAACCAGAGATGCCTGTGCAGATCAGTCCTCTCCTCACGCTCCATGTTTCTCTGATGAATGCTCAGGGTGCCAGGGGCATTTCCCTGCGTGACGGAATTGTCTGTGCCTGCTTCTCCCTTCTCGCATTGCTAAAATCCAATCTTTCCCGAGTGCATTTGCTCAGGCGCATTTTGCGCTTCTGCTGATAGCACAAAACTGCTGTGCTCCTGGCAAATCCTGTGTGTTCTCCCCAGTGAATGCTAATTCGGCTTTAATTCCTTAATGGATCATAAGGGCAGGTGAATATAAAGACCAAAGGATGGAGGACAGAAGACTGGCAGGTTCAGAGCCCAACTGAGGATAACAGCAGAGGAGATATGGGACAGAGAACGAAATGCTAGATGTTCTCCTTATCACAGCTGTCTTGTGTGGAAGCATAAGGCAATTATTACAGTAAACGTTCCTTCCTTTTATGCAAGCGGAAGACTGTGAGCAAATTAAGAAACTACTCTGGTGCCTCAGCTTACCTGTTTACAGAGGTGAGAATCCACCTCTGCCGGCTAGGACTGCAGGGAGGATTAAAGAAGGTTCATTGAGCACTTAAAATTCGCTGTAAGGGTGTTGTCTCGTTATAGACCTCATTTAAAATACAAATCCATGGTGAAAAATTAGATGAAGTCAGAATGGATGGGGGTTTCTGGGTGTGATCTGTCTGGGTTTTCATATTCACAATAGCATGTAGAGGAGAGAGAACAGCTCTGCTGAGATGTGTGGCCTCCGTGAACGTACATTAAAGTTTGTGTGCGGTCTGACTTGGGCATTCAGAGGAGGAATGATAAAAAGTAACTGCAGTCTTGTCTTCTAAGAATACAACCACCTTAGCTGAACCCTGCCACACAAATATTGTAAGAAGCCATGAAATAGCAGGGGGGAGCCACTTTGCTGGGTAGATCAAGGCGAAAAATATAACCACGTCAGAAATAATTACCCCTATTTCAGATATCAGGAGATGGGCAGAGGGGAGCCAGCAGCAGAGCTGAATACAGTATTAAATAGTTATCTTCTGCCTTAGACACTAAATTGGAATATGGGCAATTAGAGGAAAAGCTTGAAAGATCAAAGTAGGAAAAAATGTCCTTTGAAAGTGATAATCAGTTATTGTTTTTAACTTACAGCAGGCAAAAGGCTACTTCAAGCCACTAAGGAAGGATGTGGGCTTATCCTGTTGGTTTTACTGTTCTGCCTCATGTTGGAAGTTTCCTCGGCTGGTTAATTAATCGCAAAGAAATACCTGTTTGGTACGACAAGCTGAAAAAGCCTTCATGGTGTCCACCCCGCAAAATATTCCCTGTTGCTTGGACTGTCCTGTACACTGGCATGGGGTAAGTTCTGCATACTGCTCCCTTTCTCGTCCTGCCGTTTCTGGCATGGGGAAGAACAGACATTTCAAACTCTTCCGTTTGCTTTTGGGATATCCCTCGTACCTGAATCAGCAGGGCATGTCAGGTCTGCTGATTCCCAGCAGACGAAGAACAACCTGAGCCAAATTCTGGGCTGAGTTCCTCAGATTCACACTGCAGGTGATGCTTTTGACCAGGGACACAGCCCATGCTCACCTTTGTCAAAAAGAATTTTAAAACTAGCCGCTGCCCTGGGGAAGTTGTACAAACTACATAGGTATGATACAGGCGATGGGTTTGAGAGCAGCGAGGGACACAGATGCAGCTGTCCTGCAAATCCCCGTTGCAAAACAATCTTAAATGAAAAGACTTTGTCTGTATTAGGGGCTTACTCACTGCAAAACACTCATGTGTTTCCCTCTTCACAGCTATGCCTCCTACCTGATATGGAATGACCTGGGTGGCTGCAGCAGCAAAGCTGTCGTCCCGCTTGGCCTCTACGGCGCTCAACTGGCCTTGAACTGGGCTTGGCCTCCCTTGTTCTTTGGTGCCCATAACCTGAAGATGGTAGCGTATCCAGCCACCCTTTCCTCTGCAGGAGGCTTGTTTGCCGGTGTCCCTGCCACGGGTTTTGGGGTTGTTTGAAGGTTTTCTAACTAGCATTATGCAATCGTACAGAGAGCTGCAAGAAGAGCTTTTGCTCAGATATAGCTCACACTGCACCTGACTCTAGACAATGGTATCAGTCCCTTCCACCCCTCTCCATGCTCTTGCCATGCTGATAGCCGGCCGGACCAGAGCAGGGTGGAAGATCAGGGACTCAGTCGTCCAGCTGCTGCATCTCCTAGTTAAGGATTCAGGCTTAGAGATAAGTCCTTCTGGGATTCACGCCCTGAGCCGGCAAGTAGCAAAGTTAGCATCCCTGGGGCGCTTATCGAGCAAATACAATGCACTGTGCATTGCAGAGCCTGTTAGGAGGATGTGCATGAAGGTAAGGCACGGCACGGCACGGCACGGCAGAGCTGGACTTGTGCTATATTCAAAAAGCACTTACCTCAGGTGCCAAGGCCCGGAGGTGACAGAGGCACAGAGGGGGATTTACGTTTCCATCTGAATTTTGTCACTCTGTGGATGAAAGTTACATTCAGAAAGTTTGTTAAGTAATAACAGCCATCAGTACTAACATGAGCATGCTTTTGACCTATCTGCATAGGCATTATCAGCAGAAGCGGGTCCTGATCATCATAAACAGTGTGTTAATCTGCGGAACTTGACAACGAACAAAAAAAATTAACATTAGTCCTGGCTTCTGGTGTGATACATTCAGATCTCACTGGTTAGGGTTCAGAGCCAAGGTCCTGGGGTTTAGAATCACTCTGGGTGACTTTTCCATGCTAAACCTCCCCTACTCCTACTCCATCTCACCACCTTTAGTAGGACGGTCCATAGTCGTGCTGGGGAAGACTGCTGTGTGTTCCCAAGAGTGAGCACCAGAGTCACTGTCTTCTCTCTGCTCCAGGCACTGATTGACATCCTGTGCTTGGACGGCCTGGCGATCGGCACGGTGTGCTCCTGGTACCGCATTAACAAGATAGCAGCACTGCTGATGGTGCCTTACCTGGGCTGGCTGGCCATGGCGACGTGTCTGACAATCCGCATCTGGAAGGACAACCCTTAAAGAGTGAGTAAGAGCAGAACTGAAATGAAGGCATTTTGTGAAACGAAACTACACTGATGTGAACCAAGGTCTAATAATCTGGGGGACTCATTCTGGGACAGGCATCAGAACATGCCTCCTCCGCCCACCTTCATCATGGTTGTGTAAAAGAAAGGTTTGCACCATGTGCCTGTGTGCTCCTTTAAAGTAACCACGCATGTTGGGAACTATTTTCTCCAGCACTGTTGAGTTTGGGGCTACAGCTGTATGGTGACCTTAATGCTATCAGGTCAAATTCTAATAGCCACATTAGGATCTCATGATACCAGTGTAATTCAGAGTAGCAATCCTGCACACCCCTTGAAACCACTGCCATTCCTCCAGAGAGCAGAACTTTTTCACACATGTGCTAAATCCCATCTCCTCTTCTGGGACCAGACAAAAATACCCTTCACTCATGCACACCAATTTTTAAGAACTTACTTGATTTTTTGCTATTTGTGCTGTTGCTTCATTTTCATGTATCACCTGGTTTGTGCTTTAGACCATTAACTTTTTATCTGTCAGCTACTGAGCAAGCAGTAATCTGTCTTGTTCTGCTAGTGAAAGGAGGCTGGGCACTTACACTTCTATTCGTGGAATATCACACTTCTTGAGTTTCATGCTCCAAGATAAAGCAGCAATGATTAGAATGCAAATGCTTCTCCCAAGAGGAAATTTCTCTCTTCCACCTCTGTGTGCTATTTCTCATCAGAAAAGAAAAACTAACATCAGTGCATTTGAAACAAATACTTTAAATGTTTCTTTAAGTACAGAAACACAAAGGCCTTTGTAAAATTTAAGAACTTACTCACGCTGCCTTGAAGGTTGTAATTACCTGATTGGCAAAAAGCCCCATGCTAAGTCTGTCAGGTGCAGTACAGCTATCTTATCCCACAGTCTTTCCATTCCCAAATATTATTAATCAGGAAAGGTTAAAATAGAAGTAGTTCTAGCAAAATGGGACTGAGCCGTGACAGAATGAGACGCAAAAGGTTCATGACTAGCCCTCGTTCATCCTTTATTCTGGCCCTTGCCTTTGATAAATCTGAACCTGAGAAGTTGCTGTCTACAGGAAATATTTACTATAATTTTTTAATTGATGGAAGCAATATACGTGAAGAAAAGTGGTAGGCGGGTCTTCTTCCTGGCAGCTGACTGCAGATTAAGGTGTGTGGGTATACTTGCAAAGGCTGGGGGTAGGAGGGCTTAGCTGAGGATGTAATATAAATTGTATTTGCTTTTCATAAAACCAAGCCACTTTTGTTTGGAGAATAAATAAATCCAAGTTATTCTTGTTCTACTGGTTTGGCACTGGGTTTGTAAAAAGCTCAGGGGATGCTGTCTGGAGTCCATGGCTTGTGCTCTGGCTCCAAAGGGAAGGGCTTGGCAGACTCCTTCCCAGGCACGCATTAGGACTAAATGGGCTGTGTGGGTTCTGAGCCTGAAAGTCCCACAGGTTCCTTCAGCTGGGGCACCTGCACAGCGGAGACACGCTCACTTGGGGATGCATCCCCGAGACAGGCTCCTCCACCGTGCTTCACCCGCAGCTTCAGGGCAAGGAAGCGAATTCTTGGGTTTGAGATCCTTCCTGAGTCACGTGAAGCCCGATTTTTAGAGATGCTGAATGTTCCCAGGTCCATCTCCAGTAAACAGCAGAGCTGGGTGCTCAGCGTGACTGAAAGCTGGGGCCAAGAGAAACAAATACCAGTAGCTGAGAGCAATTGAAATTTGTAGTACCTTTTTAAAATTTGATCATATATCTTGTTCTGTCATTTTGATCCCATCCATTATTTTTCCCTTCTGGCTACAGGACACCTCTATACAGCAGTGCTGCTGCAAGCATATTGCTGTAATCTCCCGAGTAAAAGCTGCATAAGAACAGGCCATTGAATAGATGTGGCTGTGAGCAGGAGCAGGACTATAAAGCACGAGCACTGCAAGCAGCACTAGAAAGATCATAAGCTACTTTAAAAAAAATACCTTAAATCCTATATATTTCAGGGCTTTATATAACCACGTTACCACTGAGCTTATTTACAGTGATGTCTCGTCTGTGTCTTCCAGAAAGCCACATGCCAAAGGACAGGAAGACATAAATTATTTCTTCCTAAAAAGAAGCTAATATCTGGGCTGGAGATTCAATTCAGCGGAGTTAAGAATGATTTAGGGTGCCTGAACATCATCATGCCTGTCCTTTCCTAGTTAGCATGGCAAAGCCAGGAGGAGCAGAGCTGGGCAGAGCCACCTAGTGAAGCCAGGAGGGATAAAGCGAGTCCTTACACCAATCTCTGCCACTGAAAAGGGGAAAAGCAGAATTTAAAACACATCTAAGTTGCTGAGTGCCTCTAGATCTGGTTCAAACCTGCAATGTTTTAATAACATTTCCAAATATAAATGTATGGATACCTATTTGACCAGCTTTCATAAATTAGTCCTCTTTCCCCTCCTTCCCATTTTTTTCTGCAGGTAAAGGAAAATCTGGAATTAAGACTAATAGATTTTTTTGGTCTTGCCATGCTTGCCCTCCCCCTTTTCCCAGCTGGTGTGACTGACTTGTTCTTGTCTTCATTTTAGTTCCTCTTCCTTTCAGTCCACCTCTAAGTGCATCAATAGCTTCTCTTTGCTACTTCCATTTTCTTGCAGGCAGCAAAAATAACAAATGTTCCTACATGTAGTGTACGTAACAGCTTGAAATCAATTGACAAAGTTAAATTTGGCAAAGCACCCTCTTGTATTAATATTTAAAGCATCATTTAGTGTATTTGCTATTCAAACAGATACACTAAAACCGCGTGAATAAAAATAACTGTAATGGCTTTTCAATGTCAGTCATCTAGAAAATTTCTTAGTTATACTGTGCAGAGCAAAGTCAGGCTCTGCCCCTGTGAATCTGGAGGGGCCCTGGTTTCCCACTGGTGCTGTGTGACAGGGCTTCTGCTCCCGGTCATGCGATGGCTGGAAGCAGCACATGGCCACCAAGCCCGGTGTTACCAGCACATCAAAGGGAAGAGAAAAAAAACAAACCAGAGAGGTGCTAGAAATCCAAAGCACGGTTAGGAACCTGGCTTGGTAAAATTTTCAAGAGAGGTCTGCTGTGCACGAGCTCAGGGCTCACCACCCTCCTGGAGGGCCCTTTTCCCCAGGGGACCCAGAAGGAGCCCTGGGAAGTTTTGCTGATGCCAGCACTGACCAGGCAGCAGGCAGGCTGGATCATCTTAGCAGGCATGCAAGGTGTTTGTCCAGCCCCCCCCCAAATTAGCTTATGGAATGGATACCACATCCCACCCAGGATCAGGAACATTCATAACCCACGACGGGACATGTCGCAGTCCACAGGAATCAAGCAGTGACTCAGACAACAGCCATGCATTTGTGACAGCTTTCATGGGGTCATGGCATTTAGAGAGAAGAGCCACCTCTCAGATCACCACGTCTCATGACGATCCCTCTCTTCAAACCTGAGCCAGCCTTTCCAGAAAAACATATCTGATATTAAACTGATTGATCTTAGCCCAAAGGGCACATCCCCGGCTACTGGATACACAATATTTCTGCATAAACAAAATCTTTCTGCCTTTCAATCCAGTCTGTTTTCCTAAGCCTTGTCTCATTCAATAATTTACCAGCTGTTCCAGAAAGCAGTTTGGCTTCAGCAGTACGGAACTTTAATTGATTTGCTGATGTCTGGAGCTACGTTAAAATATAGAGACAAATGCTAGAGAGCATTTGCTGCTGTGTGCATGTAAACTTCAGAGAACTGAACACAGGCCAGTAGCTCTCCCCACCGCCTCTTTGTTAGCACAGGGTGGTGTAGAATATAAAATCTTGCAGCTTTGAGCACCTGCATCATGGCTGGGGCTGACCTTCCCCTTCAACTGCTCCCAGTAAAACTGCAGCAGAAACCCAGCAGGAAGGAGGCTGTGCTGCTTGGAGCTGTCATTAAGTTCTAGTTGGGCTTTGAATTAATTGGACAGCCAGCAGCGCCTGCCAACAAAACAGACTCCCTCTGCTGTACAGCAGCGTGCTAATGGGTGTGCGAGGGTTGGGGATCACGGGCCAGGGAGGCCCAGGCTTTAGCTGTGAAGATAAGGCAGGGAGCGAGGCGAGAGCATCACTTATCTCCGCCTGCACCACGGCTCCATTTCAGCTCTGCCGCAGTGCCTTTCACAGGGAGCTATCACCCCGCACCGAGGGACATGGGCACTGTCCAGGTTGAACCCACGGGACTTTGCAGTGGCTGCCACCAAGGTTTCCTGACCCTTCCCTTAAACCTTGGCATTGTGGTCCTGCAGCAGGAAGAGAAGGACATGTGAGGGCTGAGGGAAGGAAAGCTGCCTCTGCACATCACTGTCAATGTTTATTTATTTATCACGTAACGGTAGTTACAGCTGGAAAAAGCAGGAGGGGGATTGCTGCCAGACAATGTATCTAGGGAGATGTTTTGTTAGTGCCACCAGCTGTCCCCTTGGAATAGAGAGCACGTCTGAGCCATGACTCACACAGCCAGTGTCTTATTTCACTCTCACATCTAGCCAAAAATGTTCCTCCAGCCCGAGAACGCAATAAAAGCCTCCTTTTCCTGGCAAGGACTTTCACAGCCAGATCTCTTCTACTGCCCCTTTGTGATCAGGAAAGGAAAACAGCCATTTTAACTACACAAAAGTAACTCCCACTGCAATTAAAAGAACTGCAGATGACCCACCTGGGAGACAGGTCAATGGGATACAGTACTCTCTATATGAAATACCTATTTAAGATGGGGAAAATGTCATCAGATTGTTCAGAGATACCTCTAAAGTCAGTGGAGAAACTCTTGTTGACTTGGATAGATGCAGGATCCAACCTTAATATCCAGTACTCCAGCAAAGCCAGAAAGCTTCTCCTAGAACAGGCTGTCATCTTAGCCTTGCTTTGCTAGCAGTTATCATTGCTGGCAGCGTTCCCATGCAGACAGCTCTTCAAATCTTACTGCAGGTTTG